CTGCTGAGACGTTATGGATAATCAATATTGTCACAGACCTAAAGTTGGAAAAGTGGGGAGACTTACACCTCTGTTATATATTTAGCTCTACTTTTTCTACTGTAGGAAGGCAAACCAGGAATGTCATACTCTGATGGATTTTTATTCTATATCTAAATCTGAAAGTGAATGATATAAACCAAAGCTGTACGTGGCATGTGGTCATAGCTTATACCAACTCGTACCCAGAAGTCCTTAAGAAAGAAACTGACTGAAGATAAACTGAAAACTGGTATCGATTGTACAGGTTCACAGGTAGCTTTTGGAAAACAGGCTCATTGCATCCCCACTGGCCTTTGAAGCAGCTTTAGAGATGATGCATATGTGTCTCAGAAATAGCTGCTTGTTGCTCCTCAAGCAAATCCAAAATCACAGTAAGTGTAACAAGGGGGAAAACATGTTGACTTTATTCCTCCCACTGTCTTTCTGGTTGGTCTTTTCTCTTATGAAGTGATAATTAAAAAGACAACCTCTTTTTTTCCCCAAGGAGAAAGTGTAGATTGTATTTATAGTCTAAAGAGCCCTAGTCATTTATTGTAAATTACTCAGAATAGCTCCCTAAATACATTACAAATTCTTAGCCAAGCTGGTATATTCATGATTGGTTTTCTCTCCTGAGCATGACACTTTCTCCAATTAGTTTCTCTAGAAAGTCTTACAGAAATTATTTGATGGCTTTTAATAACAGTTCTGTAGGAGAAGGATTTGAAATGCTATTGCCTGTACAAATGCAACTTTGAAGTTATTAGTATAGTAGTACTAGCTGTGTCAAAAGTATTTTGAACATCTCTCTGCCTGTTTTATTGACATCCTGGTTTCCAGCGCAGACATACCCTATGTCCAGTAAAGACTAGCTGTCATTGCTGTGGCCATCGCATCTATTGTCCAAGCATTAAGGACACAGAATGCCTGCGAAGTCATCAGTCAAGCATTGCCTATGGCCATCTGCCCAGCGTGTCCTCTGTAGTACTTACTGGTGTCAGTAGTAGTAGTTGATAACATAGATTTGTAGAAGGATTTGGGTTGGAGGAGACTTCAGGGGGTCCCCTCCTGAGGGAGGGTCCAACCCCCTACTCATAACAGTGTCAACATTGAATTTAGACCAGATTCCATAGGAAAGCAATTCCATGGGACTGTGAAAAAATTATCAATGTAAGAAACATTGCTGAGAAGAGTAGCTTAGCTTTTGTTCTGGGATGGAAAGAGAAATGGGCATGTTTCTTCCTCATTTTAGTCTGTGGCTTCACTGTTAATACAGATACAGTCTTAAAACAGCACTCAATTTTCCTTAACAGCTTTGCGTCCAAAAACCTGCATGTGTGAAAAGGGACTGCAGAGGAGAAAAAGATAACAAGAGATTGTGATTGGAAAGTCCTGAATACCCCCAGCCCAAAATACCTGCAATCTCGCTCTTCAAGATGTGTATCATCTAAATGGAAGATTTTCCATGTCTGCTGCTTCTCAACCGCCTTCTGTCTTACGAGAGGAAGTTTTATTCACTACAGGAAATTTTCTTCAGTAATGAAATTTAAAGCACGAATTCAATTTTCTTTTTTTTTTTTTTTTTTTTAAATTGTCATTATCTGTCTGATTTCCGCCCCCCCTCTCTTAATTGAAAATCCAGGGAGGAAGGAACATAAAGGACCAAGCGAGAACCTTATCACTAACTGACAACTGTTCCTGCCAGGTACCAGGGACTTGAGTGAAGCAGGATGGTCATAACAAGAGGCTTTCAGAGTATTTCTCAAGCTTTAATTCCTAAATCCTAGCTGGATGATCACAAAGCTCCTTACCATAAGGAAATATCTGCTTTGTTTCTGCTGCCTGTAAATAGTTCTTTGGGAAATGCACTTACTAGAGGAAATATTCTTTACCTCGCTGTTTCTGGGCTGCCGCTGTATGTTTTGATGCCATGGTGCTCTCTAGGGGCTTTCTGACATCTGGAGAGATCCCACTGGGTATGGAGAAGTGTGATGAATGCTTTTAGAAAATGGAGATCAGGAAGTGAGTTTATCAAGGTTTAATATGTAAGTTTCAGCTGCCACTTCTCTCCTCTTTTGCAATGAAATAATGATTTCTTTCATTATTTTACTCCCATGAGAAAAGTAAAATAGGTGTTTTGTGTGAAGTGCCGTTGGCAGGCCTCTGCTCATGCTTCAGAGTCCTCCTGCTACAGAGCAGTGCTCTTTTCTGCTGTTTTGCCTCCATTTGGTTGTGTGAACACGGCCGTACCTCTGTGCTGCACCAACCAGATCCATCGCCAGCAGCGTATCATCACTGCTCAGAAACGGTAAATGCATTTTAACTACAAGAAAGTAAGGAGCAAACTGCATTTTCAAACACAAAATACTCTGCATATGTAGTCGTTTAAACAAAAACTCTAACCAAATATTTATGCTGCGGGATTTGTAGCTATGCAAATGTGCTTTTCACTGAAAAATTGTCAGTGGTGACAACTTGAAAATCTCTTCCATAGAAGACTCTTTCTTTATCGTTTAGAACTTGCTCATTGTTGCCAGAGAGAACTGAACGCTCTGAAGTCAGTGTATGCTTTTAGACATGAAACAGAGAGATGCTATTGCAGCTCCTGATACAGAATTAAAATGTGCTGCTTCCCTTTCTGTACTAAGTCAGGAGTGCAATGTCTTGTATATTTGCTTGTAAAAAGCACACTGCGTAGCTGTCGTTGGCTCAACTGAAAGACTCAAAGTAGCAATGCATTTCCCAGATTTCTGTGTATTGATGTAGCAACAAAATGTATTTTGTACTAAATACAGAACACTTTAATTCTAAACGTGAAATAGTGTACGTGAGTACATTGTACTTTGTTTAAAGGCTCTGCCCAAACTACATTGACAAAAGAACCCTTCTGTTGTTCTGAGAGCTGCCTTCCCTTGTGTGTTTACCAGTGTAGCTCTACCAAGGACTAGGTTTTAATTTTTGCTCCAAATCAGATGACCATTGCATGCAACTCAAAATGAGAAAGAGAATAAGCTGAAAGGAGGGCTATTGGCAGGACTAAGAACAGGTTTAAATCTATGTGTTTGGGAGAGAAGAGGCTGCTACAAGATTTTTAAGACTTAAGGCACAATCACAGATTTGTCATATAGGCAATCTCCAGATGAGATGAGGCCTGTCGCATTGTCTGTTCTTCTAAGAAAATTGCATTGAATGTGAAGAGAAATGAAACTTGTCGTGTTTCCTGGCACAGAATAGCATCCTTCTTATCGATCAGAAAAGGTATGAGGGGAGAGGACTTTCTATGCTCATCTGTCTTCTCTGGACCTGTCTGGAGCATCTGAAGTCCTGCACAATGGGCTAATGATTTTTCAACCCTAATCCTTTGAGGTAACTCCAGGTTTTGTAAATTATCGCAAAATACTTGGTCAAGCTGAAATGGGTCACAGTTCTCTCTATTGTCTGTTTCTCTGCCACCAACTCTTCCTCACCAGTCAGTTGGTAACTGCAGCCAGTTGTCACACCTTTTGCCTCTGGAAATCTGTATGCAGTGCCACTGATCTGGTACAGAGGGTATTGGCTTGTACTTTCTGCCAACCTCTCCTACCAACTCCTTATACCCATTGAAGAGATTCCCCACAATTGCCACACTGTCAAAAGACCATGAAAGTCTTTAAAATATTTCAAAAAAATTGTTAAGTCGTGGAACATCCTCCCCTGCAGTGTCTGTGTCTGAAAGAAGGGTTTGCCAGGCTGCTGTCTGCTCTGGGATGACATACGCCACCAAGGCAAGGCCTAATGAAGTCCTTGATTCTAGCCAGTCAGATACAGAAAGTAGCATAACGTTTAGAAAATAACTTCATTAATCTCTGTGGGGTAGGAGGTGTCAGTGTTTGCCCTCCTAATTGGAGCTGAGATGTAATGACCCTGTATATAACCAAAGATAATTAAGTGTCCTAGTCAGCCCAATTTGCTCAAACACACTCACTTCCACAACGAATTGGAGTGGGGGGGAAGTTTTATTCCATTTTTCACCTTTTCTTAACTAACTACTCACAAGTACATTCATGTCAGACTAGCATTTACAGGAGGGAGAAGAGGAAGAGTAAACATGTAATCAAGAAAGTCCCCACGGAGCACTTCAGTCAATGTCAGGCACCGTCTCAGCAAGAGTAACCCAGCGAGAACGTGCACAGTAACACATCGCTCGACATTGTCAAAAGCACGGCAAAGGAAGAGGAAGGACTAACATGAATTCTTGCTGAAGCCTTTCATGTAAATTATTAAGCTTTAGCCCAGTCCCAATTTCTGGGCCACTCGAAAACCTGAATGTCATAGTGGCTCACCTTTACCTGTAATGACTTGCTTTAAAGAGGTTGGATCAAGATAACAGAAATGAGTTTGTTTGTCCTATAATGACACTGACAAGGGCAGAGGATAAAGAAATAATCTGTGAGGAAGTACATGTCATGCTGCCTACTTTTTGATCTCTAAAAAGATATTTTTGTCAGTCTTCACAGTGTAATCTGAAAGGCGGGGTGCCTGGGAAGGACTGCAACGTGTTTTCAATTTCTGCCTTTCTGTGGTTTAATCAGTAGAATTTAAACTGCAGTGAGAAGCACCTGTCTGCGAACAAGGGAGCAAGCAGTGATGTAGATGGTGTAAAAGGCAGCATGGAAGACATGGAATTTCGTGTATTTTTGAGTCAGGAGAGTCATCCTCATTTTGAAGGATGAACCTGTAAGATCTACATGAGGAGCTACATACGGCAGGAAAATTAAACAGCCCTTCTGATGGCTTAGGCTGGACCTGGACATAAAGTTGCGCCACAGCATCCTGCTTAGGTGATGCTGGTTTCTGTAAGATTTCCTTGTCCTGTTCTGGGGCTGCTGATCCAGAAGGCTGAGCTCTAACAGGAGCCACTTTCCTGGTAAGAGTTGCTGAAGTAGCCAAATCTCTTCCAATATGCCTCAAAAAATGTGGACTCCAGGACACAGTGTCTAGAAATGGCTTCACCAGTACTGTAGATAACCGTCAGTATGCACACGACAGCATTTGATGCACCTTCCTGTATTCCCTTTTAGCTTTTTTTCAGCAGGTCTATCTTTTAGCTGCATCGTTATGCTTAGAAGGTCACTTCTTTTGTCTTCCAAAACAGTCCTGAAGGTCCTGTTCAGAGTCAGTGTCTTATGAGGGTCACCAACCTGTTCTGCTCTTCAGGTGTATGTGCTCAGATGTATTACATTAGTTTTGTTTCATCTGCTTTCCCTTACGTAAACCACTTGCTGTCTGTGAGCTGTGGTGTCACCAACCCCTACGATCACGGCACTGTGGCTCCTTTTTGCGTGGGACCCTCGTTTCTCGGGGTGCTGGTGCTGCATGTCTGTCTGCTTGACTGCTGTGCAGTCAAAAATGCTGCAGAAATAAGTGCTCATTTTGGATTGTGCACTGACGTGTGTTCTCTACGGAGCAGAGAGGGAAGCAGGGAGGAGTATAACTTCCTGGAAGAATGCTTCCATTTGAGTGCTGAGGTCCTGGTATTCGGAGCACAAGAAGGAGGGCTCCTGGCTCAGTGGTCTCTTTGCCCATTTCTGTGGCTATTTGCTTGTTTGCTGAGAAATGACTTACAGCCCATGTGAGACACAAACATCCCTTTATCACGCAGCTTGTATCACCCTAATGGAATTCTGTCAGCTGAGGATAAAATGTGGACTAAGAAAGCAATTATTGAGTGAATCTCCTAGCTGCAGGAAGAGCTGAGAGATGGGGACAGAGTGCCCAGCTGGAGTAATTTCCTGTCCGAGTGGCCTCTAAATCTTGCTGGGAAGAGATCAATTTTCCACCCTTGTCTAATAGCATCAGCTCCAGTCACCCTGGCTCAGGACCCCATGAAGTGCTGCAGTGTTGAGATCTCGGCATAAAGGGAAACATTTGCAATTTGCCACTTCTTCCTTACTGACCTAGAAATAACTGGAAAAGAGGAAAACGAGGCTACAGGCCTTCTGTCTGATGGCTCTCTAGCGTACCCTATTTAGCTCCTGGTTGAAGGAGAAGACTGACCATCCCAATGGTCAGCAGGGTAGGAGTTTCCCAGCCTGGACTATTGCTTCCAGCATGGCATGGTCCTCCACCCATAACTCAATGGCTTTGGCTCTAATTAGGAGAGGAGAACCACCACTTTGTGATCTGCTAGCAACCTTCTCCAGGTATGCTGTTTATTTCTGGAAGGTCCCAATTATACAGTGAAACCACAGTGAAATCCTGCTTTTAGCTTTCAACTCGCTCAAGGTCTCTTTGGTGTGACTAAAATCAACTTGACTCAAATTCTTAGCGTGTGTCTCTGCTCCATTGCTTATGGGACTTCCAAAACTGTCAGCATGCACAGATTTTGTG